TAGCGAGTTGTGTAACTTTCCCGGTTGTTATGAGATTTTGTTTAAAAAATAACTTGTCAAAAAGCTTAATTTATAGGGTAGAGATCAGTTTTATAAAAAATTATAAATATTAATAACGAGTAAAAACGTCATTAAGTCCAATTCCTCTTGAGATATGACACGTGACCACCCACTATCTCTTTACTCTCAGACTGCCGGTTGGCCGAGCGGTCAAGGTGCCATCCTACCGCTCTGGGAACTCGGGATCGAATCCTAAGGGTCGAAAAAGCCCCAGGAATTTTTCGGAAAGTGATTTGTCTGGATATGTCGGACCGTCCCTCTCCACTCGGCCGCACCATTGTGGACCTAGCCGAACCATAATGGACTTGCTAAAAGAGACCATCTTAGTGCCCACAGGGCGGTACGAGTTAAAAAAAAAAAACTCCTCCGATCTTTCACCACCAAAATTTAGAAGCATACACAAGCTTTTCATACACGATCTACTACGCTAAATTTCGTTTCTTGATTTTAAACCCATCCTGAGATATTAAACAAACTAGATGCCAATACACGCACACATATCCATGGAATATTTTTTCGTGTTTTTTTTACTTTTTTAGATTCAGAAGGTCTCAAAACGTGAAGATTTGAAAAACACTCGGACGATCAAATTCGACACGATTTCAATACTTCTTGTTTTGTGTACCTACATTAACAGCCGGGAAAGTAAAATGATAACTAAATTCTGAACCCAGATAAACTATTGAAAGTTAAAATCAAACGGAAGATAACTTTGATCATATTACATATTTTAAGCTACTTTAAGGTTGACAATTTAGAATTTTTTAAACGTTTTCCTGTAAGCATTAGTAGGAGATTTTTCATGAATATCATGAATTCGGGTAGGCGTATAAACGGGAGAAATCGGGAGACTAGAGGTAGAATGATAGATATGTCTGGGTCAAAATACTCAGAAAATTTTCAGAATCAGGCCTGGGAATTTAGTTTGCTTTCTTATTACCAAAATTTCGGTATCCGATTGCAAAGGAAACTCATTATACGGCAATAATCTCAAGAGACGGGAGTTAATGTGTTTACGTGTGTTATTACACTAAATGCGCCATACGAACCTCCCGTTGCTATCGGATAAAGAAACTTCGAAATTATCGAAAGTAGATAAGATTAAGTTTCCCGAATTTGAATCCATGTTTCTCAGAGCGGCAAGCTGACAATTTGACAAATGACTAAATCATTTAGTCATTAGAGTCCGGCTAATTGAATTCACGAATTAGATTTAATTGCTTCTTTTTACCTCTATGTCTTTTACTTTTTTGTTTCTATATTGTCTACTTGGATCTTGTTTATAAATGGTCAAAAGTCAAAACAAAATATCTTGTTTTGACTAATCAGATCTTTGCTAATCAGAAATTACACTAGTATACAAGTAATAAGTCTTATTTATAAATAAGATCCAAGTTGATTTAATTGTTTTTAGGTTCTTTATGGTAAGAGAAGAATCCTTATCGCGCGTTTTTTTAAACTCTTTTCGCCCTGTGGGCACTAAGAGGATCTTTATTAGCAAATCCATTATGGGTTCATCCAGGACCACAAAGGGGCGGCCGGGTGGTGAGGGACGGGGGCCAACATATCCGGTCGGACCACCCCCGAAAAATTCCTGGAGATTTATCGACCCGTCCGGATTCGAAACCGGGTCTCCCAGAGCGGTAGGCTGTCATCTTAATTACTCGGCCATCCGGCTGTCTTATCGCAGGTATCTGAGCGGCAACACTATTCCCAGAATATTTAATTTTGATTTTAATAGCGATAAAATTTCTGTATTGCTAAATTACAAATTCAAAAATATGCATTACTTTAAAGTATATAATTATACGAACGAACAACAATTCGTTTAATGAACAGCAACAGAAAAAATTTCACATAATAAATTACATTTAAATTTTAGAATTTTATTACCTTTTACATAATAACACGAATTAATACAACCGTAAATGGAAACAAAATATAATTGAAAATAAACTCGAAGTAATAGTAGGAAACTAAATAGTGAAATGGTTGCACACGTCACGTGCTTAACGGAAAACCAATCTCGTCCCTCTCTCTCGATATCCGTTATCGAGAGTAAATGTAAGGGCGTTAGGCCTAGATTGTTTGATGGTCGCCAAGGTGATAGCCGGATGAACTGTCAGTAAAAATCATGAAAATCGGTATATTAAATCGTTTTTCCAAATGGTTTTGGAATGAAGACGTATGGTTACCGCCTAACATGACATGGAAAGACATAGAAAAGACAGACGTAATCAAATATGCACAGTTTAATGATTTATATTATGGTCTGCTGGTAGCTGTGGTGTTGCTGATCATTAGATTTACTCTAGAGAGGTGAGTCATGAACACTTTCAACTATACATGAAATAATGAAGCCATACTTTATATAGACTAGGTTAAAATTTTTCATTTTCCTTCACATTTTCAGTATGTAGCAATTAAAATTCATTAAAATATCAATCATTGTCTGTATGAACCTTAAAAAATTAAAGTCTTAGTGTCATTATATCTATAGATTTATTAATGTTACATGAGTAATAAGGGTTTGGTTCCCATTTTACTGTCATGTTTTGACAGTTTTATGAGAGTAATCTATTAAATATATGTATAATTTAACTATCAGATGAAAGAATTAAATTTTTTAAGTGTACCAGAAGTCAGCTCTAGATGCTATGGTGTGTTCGTGGAGTATGGTATGTTTTGTGGTACTCTGGTGTTGCTATTCATGGAGATTTTAAAGGCGGGCATTTCATACAGGATGATGATGCATTTCAATGATCCTAATCCTTGTTTCGTATCATGATATGAAGCATCCTACCTTCAAAATCTCCTCAGTGAATGACGAGACCGAGATAATATGTTTTGGCGCGACTTACGTAAAACCAAGAAACGTTTGAGAAGTTATTTAGAAGATCTGTTTACGTATTGATTATGTTGTATATTACGGTAATTTGTGTTTGGGCGATACGAAGTTCGATAAGGTCGATTTCGTGTAAGGAAATGTTAATTTTTCTCATAAAAAATGCAATAAATAAAGATTTTTTTTCATATTTTTTTGCCTTAATGTTAAAATCCATTTGTGTTTAAATTAGTATATAGATTATCAAAAGATAATTTGATAAGATGTGATTTAAAGATTTAAAAATACTATTTATTGGATGAATCTGTATTTTTCCACAACATAATCGTGATAAAGGAAAAAAATATATTGATCATTCTAGGAAACCACACATCTGTTTTGATTTTTATTATTCTTTGAGGTATTGTGATACTGTGAATAATAAAATCTGTAACCTGTTTCTGATTCTAAATAATAATAATTTTAATTTGATTAAAAAAAAGAAAAGAATCCGTATCTAGGAGTGGGTGTGACATTAATGTGAGAGGTGGTTTAAATTAAAAATTTAAGAAAATATCCAAGAGAGAGAGAGACTGTCTTATGTTAATTAACATATGGGTGGTTAAAAATCCTATAAGACTACTAAAATATTTAAAATATTATAAAAAACTGTTTACATTCTCAAATTTTTTTTATTTAGTTCGTTATATAATTTCATTTTTTTTATTGTTTACTTTTTTAAAAAATTGCTTAAAGATAAATTTAAAGTTTAGGTAAATTTTTGGAATTTTTTTATATATATTTGTTTTAATAAACGACGCTTACAGCATAATGTGGCTGATCAAATTATGTATTTATTAAAAATATTTGTTTCAGAAAGTGGTTATAAAACATATTTTTTCTTCAAGAAGTACAAATTTATTAATATATATACTTAAAATATTTACTTTTAGTTATATAAAATATTTTAATAATCTTTCAGAATGAAAAGACTTGTTTATATTGAAGGAAGTACAGTACATACAAAAAAATAAAATTTTATCTAGACGTATTGTAATTTCAATCTATTATTATAAATTTTGTTTCTAAAAGTGAACTAGAAATTTGAAATCACTGAAAATGATATTCTATTTAGTAAATATTTTATTTTTTCTAATGTATATAAAAATCCAATAAAACCAATGTTTCAAGTCATGCTTACTTCACCACAAATTGTATAATAGTTTAGCTTTGTATTTAATCATAAATTTATTTTATGGTTACTTTTAACTAAATAAAATAATAAAATTGATTTACCAAATGTTATTTTCTAGCTTTCCCTTGCAATATAAAAAAAACATGACATGATATTCAATTGTTGAATTATAATACTAATACAGACAGATGCTAATTACAAAAATGCTAGTAAAAATTAATGTGCTACAAAATATTTAATATTACAATATATTTAGAACTAAACAGAATATAATTTTAAACAGAATCATTTAAACAGAACATTTTAATCAAAAAGAAATTAATTTATATATATTATGTATGTATAGTTTGTGTATGTACTGTACTTGTATATGCATACACATAATCTGGATATATCTGTTTATTATATGACCTTGTTTTGATTTGTGTGCTAGATATTTAAAGTTATCATACGGTGATCTTGATATATACTTAAATCAGTAATTTTTTCCCTTTTCATTCATCTTTATCTGATGATGATTAAATAATCAAATGATGAATAGATAACAAACATCCAAATGAATATCTGAAATTATATTCTACAGTTTTTGAAACTATTTATATAATAAATCTACTGAATAAATTTAGACTAATAATCAAATGAACTTATAATGACAAATTTCATAGGAGTAGCAATATATTCTAATTAAAAATTCATAAATCTAAAGAAATTAATTAATTTAAATTCATTATTTTGTCATATATTTCATTGATTACTATGATTTAGTTTTCATTCATACTTATTTCAAGTTGTATGGTGTATATAGATGATCGAGATTTTATATGGAATGTTTAAAGATGATGTATAATATAATCTAATAGATAGATATGATAAAATTGTCTATTTAATATGGTTATATTTATATGGAATATTTGATTTTGAATAATATAAAATCTTACATAACATTTTTAAGCCAATTTATTATTTAAATCAACTCTTTAGTTATTTCTTGATGTGGAATTTTTCTGAATTTGATTAGAAATGAATAAAGTAAAAACAAAGTTTTAAAATACAGTAGTTTTGATATTTGTTTTGATATGCATTTTAAATTTAAAGATAAATTTTAAATCTTTTTATTTATTTTCGTATTATAATTATTAGTTATAGTTAGTATTATACATAACTAAATCATGATGTGCTTGCTTTAATTCTTAGTTATTTTTCTTAAAACTGAAAAACATTTTTCCAGATAAGTATGGATTATTATAGAAAAAAGAATCCGCTAGAGATAGATTAGAAAATTTTATATTGAAAGTTCACTAATTTAGTAGTAGATTCAATATAAGATGTTTCAAATATTTTTATAACATGAAGATGATCTTTATTATTCTTAAGGCATAAACTTCCATATTTGATTTTGAAATATGATACTTGTAAACTTTATACACTCTTGTAATATTAATTAATGTAATAATAATTATATTAAAAAAAATGAAAAAACTGATTCCAATTAGACTCTCCTTTATAAGTGATTTATAGATTTCATATTTTCCATTAGAGCATCATGAATATATTTACGTAAATATTTAAAATATTAAGATGAAAAGATTGATAAATGTTTGAGAAATCAATTAAACATGATACATTTCTTTTCACATACCACTCTTCATATTCTAATAATGTTTAATGAGTTAATCATTCAATTTGGTTAATTAATGTTTTCTCTATTGATACCATATGCCAAATACTGACTCGACTTAATAAACCATAATTCCATTATATTTAATAAAAGAGTTACTTATTTGTATATTTATCGTTAAATTATTTTTAGTTTACTAGTAGTTGTTCCTATGCCAATTATTGGAATTATGCTGTGCCAATAAATGGCTTTTGGTTTGAACTTGTTTTTTCAGAGAATCTGAAGCTTAAGCTATGGACAAATAGTAAACTATTTTTAGTGGTTTATACAGTATATGAAACTATTATATATGGTCATTAGAATGAATTAGTTACTAAAAGATATTTTGAAAATGTCTATTTGAATAAGCAACACAGTAAATAACTGTCTTTTAGTGATAAAACTCTTTAATAAACACGAAATTAAACAGTTTTAACATTGAAAGACAGTTGTTTATCTAATTTGGCACCAAGTGTGTGTATATCTATCAGTGATAGCTTGAATATCCTGAATTAAGGTATCAAAATTCCATCATGTTAAAATTAACACAGTTATTACAATTTCTTTTTCTTATGTTATTTTAAATTCTAATTGTTTATGTAAGAAATCAAAATTATTCAACCTGAATTTACCATCTGTGATGTTCAATTTGAAACATTTATATAATCTAATTGGTTTATGAGATTAATTGCACCAATTAAGAATAATAACTTAGTTTCAGCTTTGAGTTGAACTGATAGGTATTTGAAATCATTTTATTCAAAAATATTGTAAAACAAAGGCAATTCATTCATTATATCTTCACATTAAAAATATCCAGAAATTTTTCAGAAGTTTTAAATTCTATTACCAAGATTTATTAGCTTATCTTTGAACGATTTTTATTACTCCAATATTTTAGAAACATTTCTGAACTTATCAACAACAAAACAAATGTTTCAGTGAAGATGACTCAAATATTATTAAAAATTACTAAAATAATGAAATTAGTTGATTTCTGAAAAACTGAATGGTGTTTTAATAGGATTATTTTTACAATAATTGAATTATTCATATATAGTAAATATCTGAATCTATGGAAAAGTATGAACAAACTCATTGACAATGTTAAAATGTTTTTCATTAAAGAATTGTTTATTAACAGATTTTTCATTAGAAGGACTTTAAATGAAATTACTTGATGAAAATAAGAACTTCTATTGAAGATTCTTGCTTCTGGTCTGGAGTAATTCTTAACATAACCAGGTATCCCTTAATAGTATAGTTGTCCACACTTGCTGATTGGACTGAGGAGAGACTCTGAGTCCTAAACACATTTCTGATATCAATAAAGCATGTATCTTTTCATTTGATCTGACTCCTTTTCATCACTTAACCTACAAGATGTAAAATTTTGTAAAATTTGCCAATCCTAGGCTGTGTTTTATTGACTAACAATTTATATTTGTGATCTTATTAATTGTTTTCTACAATAAGTATTTATTAATCTTAAAATGTATAGATTAGATACTTAACAAAAATCATTGTTTTTAATAAAAAGTGTTAAAAAATATGAAGATCATAATGGTTTAAAAAATTAAATTGGCTCTGAAAGGAGACTATGATTAAACCATTTATAAAAGGATACATTAAATGGCTTTTTG